TGCTAGAATTCGTGACATTAATCCTGGTGCCGATGGTGTCACTCGTGTGACAATCATCACTGCTGGTGAATTTTCATCCGTCCCATCTAGGGTCCTTCCACCACCTCAGCTCATTTCATTTCGTTTTGTACATATTTAATCAAAAGTTAATTCTTTTATTTTATAACTTATCTGATTGTTTTCATTTTCTGTAAAATTTTGGTGGGCGGTATTTTTTGGCCACAGTAAAATAGGCCCTGCACCTTGACCCTTTGAGTCCTCTCCTCTACCTCTCCTTCTTCGTTTTGCCAGCAGTCTTGTTTTCTCTGTCTCCCAGTACGAATCTGTTGAGAACAAAAACCTTTCCTTGAGCACCATCAATTTTCCTTTAACATTTCCCAAATTTCCCATCTTATTCTCCATTTCCTGAACTGTAAGTGGTTCTACGGCGTTGCAGCGGAAACCCAACCTCGCTAAGACCTTCAGTAAGTGATTCCTTTTTTATACCGTCCACGTCAAATCGTAAGTTTTCTCTTTATTTCCTTCATTTAAATGTTATGTTAGTATCCAGCCTAAACATCGAGAATTCCGCTAAAATAGCTCCATTGTTATCGAAAAAACCTATTCGAACATTAAATTTTGAGTAGAATGAATCCAACCGCACGTTTTTATCTCAATCCATTGTCAAGATATATACCTTTTTTAAATATATTAATCAATATTTTAAAGGTTTTTTCTGTGTTAACCTTCGAAATAAACGTTGTAGGAAATTAAATTAATTAATCTACGTTAATTGAGACCAACGCGGCCTCATGGGAACTCGAGCCACGATTTTTGGCCAATTTTCAATGTTTTGACTTGTTAGTAAATCGCTTGAAAAAAAGGAAGACAAGTACATAATGACGATCCCATGGTTCACTTCAGTTACAATGGCTCATGAAATTTTCTTGCGTCATGGAGGATAACAACTAGAATATGAATTCTTAGGTTCAATTTTCATACTATTCATCAATTTTCTTCTTTCAAGAGATTTACTTACTTCTCAAAATTTTGAGCATGGATTGTAGACAATTGGCCACAAATTGCGGCTCCTGTGCCTATGAGGTGGCGCTGTTCTCATTTTACGTATACGTTTATTTCGAAGTGTTAACACTGAAAAAACCCTTTTTTTCTCGGAAAAAGTGGTTATTCTATCAAAAAATCATATCTCAGCGATAAGATAAAAACTTGCCATTGGTCTCATTCTACTCATAACTTAATGATTGATTAGGTATTTTTTGATACATGGAGCCATTTGAGAATAGTTCTGAATACACAGTTTTTAGAGGTTTTTGCGTTTTCCTTATAAAAGGCTTCATTTGAGGACCTATGTTTTTGACCTAACTTTTTTGTTCAGCAAGAAATTTCCTATAAATCCTCAATCTATATCTTTGTTTCGTTTGGACCCACCCTGTATTATGTATTATGCATCAATTTATTTGCGTGTTCGCGTACATCACTGATGTTTAACGAGAAAAGGGCTTCATTTAGTTATTCAGAGATCGTGAGATGCAGTCTGGTGTGATGTAGGTTTCAGAAAAACATTTTCTTTATCGTGCCAACGTTTCGATCTTTATTGAGATCATCTTCAGGGCCTGGAATTTACAAACATTGTTTACATATAACAAATACATGTAGAATGTGGAAAAAAGTGAATTTATACAATGCAAAATATATTTTTTTATATTCAATCATGAAGATGATCTCAATAAAGATCGAAACGTTGGAACGATAAAGAAAATGTTTTTCTGAAACCTACATCACAACAGACCGCATGTCACGATCTCTGAATAATTATCGATTAACTGTCATTAATCACTACACAGGCTACATTTAGTTTCAATCACGGCTGATATTATGCAGCTTGTTAGGGATAAATTTCACTTCTGTCTGACCCCGGCCTGCCGGTAATTTATTAAAAATGAGGAGGACTGTGAGAAGTGATACGCTCAACTCTGCACAAGGCGGATTTGAGCTTATGTAAACCCAGATCCAAAATTGTCTAAACCTTTATGTATACAATAAACTTGTTCATCCTGTCAAAACAATAAATTAGACATACTGACAGAGGGCTCGACCCACCAATAAAGATTTCGAGAAGCCTAATCGCTTTTGATTAAATGATCGAAAACGTCCTAATTACATTTATGGCATGGCTGGTTCATAACTTTGGCCAGTAAGACCAATATTGTATTCTATATTTCTCAATATTTTATCCAGTTCGCTATTTTTTCTCCAGGGATTCGTAAGTATTAATTTGAGAAGATTTTTCAATTTTTCCGACCCTGGCCCACACAAAAAAAAGAAATGGGCCCGTTGATATTTGCGCGTTTCAATTATTTGCGTGTCGAAGAGCAGTTACAGGATTTCTCTCCGCCTTTTCCGCGCAAACGTCGAATCTGGCTTCCACATGAGCTTAGGACAATTTGGCCTTAACGAGCTGCACAATTCCAGCCGTGATTGAAACTAAACGAAGCCCTTTTCCTCGTTAAACGCCCCTGGATGAACGCGAACATGTAAGTAAATGCCGGTGGTTTCCTTAGAATTAAAAACATACATATGAAAAATACATATTAAAAACATAAATGCATATGAATCCAATTCCAGCTTTTGGCAATGTTGGCAGTCCGTAGTCTTATCCATCAAGCCACCGAGGTAGGGCTTGGTGGTGGAACATTCGATATTCCTCCATAACTTATTTCACAATTATTTTCCAGCCGATTTTATACGAACCATGACCATCATAAAAAAATAAATAACTACAGAAATTGATTACTGGTGTATATATGCTCAAATCTGCAGACGAAACGTTGGCAATCCAGCGTCAGACCTCGGAATTATCTCTCCAGCCGCTATGGGCTTCCAACAGCTAGGTCATTTAGCCCCAAACGCAATCATAATTGATTCTCCTCCATCACCATTTTCATCTCTTTTATAACCTCTAACCTAATTGAGGGTCGATGGAGTACTGAATATTAGTCATCGGTCTTCTCACACTGCACACTTACGCCATGCTAGATACACAAAACTATATACAATAAAACAACTTTGTTTCCTCCAAGAACCAGCTACTAGCTGCCGTGCTCAAACAGAATTCTCATATCGTACGGTATGCCTCTCTATATGCATCTTTCAATCAGGTGGAACAAGTAAGTGCCCATGTGCCAACCTCGCATGGCCTATCCTTATCGAGTGAGGATAACCATTCTGCAACGACTCAGATCATCCGAGGGCCACCTATCGATAGTGCTCTTGATACCGACGATTTGTTTAGTCTTTTCAATATTTTCCAAAGGTGTTTGTTGTCTTCAGTGAGGTCTTATCTGACTCATTTGTTGAACAGATTCTTTAGTTTACTTTGCTTCTCTAGTCATGTTAATGTGGTTTTTATTTCACCTTTCCGAGTTTGGTTTTTTGTATGTACTTCTTTTATTGATTTATTAATTGAACTGTTGTATGGTTTGCTGTACTTTTTTACAGGTCATTAGGATATACAGTGTTTTCATTTTGTGTTAGTTTCTGCAATAGTTAGATCGAGAATATGGTTTTATGTTTTAGCTTTCCAGTAAATACAAGTAAACTGGTTTTCTTATGAATTGTGATGATGCCAATGAATGGTGCCATTTGTGCTTTTAAGTTTTATAGATCTAGATCGTCCGAAGTGAGGTTTTAACTTTATTTCCCAATAACAGATGTTGTCTTAATGTATAACATTCCATCATCATTCTCGCAGTTAAATATGCTAAATGCTAAATATATTCGTCAATTGTTCACACTAATATATACATAATAAACGATTTACAGGTCGGTGGCCGCAACGGTTTAGGCGTTGACACGGCGCTCATCACTGTAAGGTAAAGGTCCCGGGTTCGAATCCAGCGGCCCTGCATTCGAACTCGAATACTTACAAATCGGCTTTTTATCAAAAACACCGGCACCCTGAGGGTTGATATGACGTCTGCTGCTGCGAACCCTCGTTAAAAAGTAAAATAAAAAATGAAATAAAAAAATAAATAAACCATTTACAATTGAAAACTTTTTGGGGACCATGTACCAATAGCTAAAACCTAGGTATCATGTCGTCCAAGTATTTAGATACTTGGTCAGGAGGCCTCGTTTCATTCCAACTTATTCAACCAACATTCTCGCTAATAAATACATACATCCGTTGTTCACCTGCAACCAATACTACTGGATTTTTTTCATCTAGGAGTACCCCAGACCGTGACGGGCAGAAAGTACCCCAGACCAGAAAGAAGGTGACGGAGTGTCAACGGTTCATTAAATTTGGGGCACTGTTGTCGACTACCCACCAGACGATGGCCAAGTGTGAGATGTGTGGCCTATCCTAAGCCTTATTAAGATAATTCTTTCTCTTCATTTTCTCAATAGCCCACAGTTTGACCGAACCTTTTATATTTTAGTTTTTCAGTCAATTCAGTCCAGCTGCCTAGCCATCCTTGTTAATTCATGATCGTGGGTTATTAAAATTATCTTCATAAAATACTAGAATTTTTCTCTTAAGTAAATTTTGAAGAAAAATAAATTCAAAGACTCTCATTCTAATGGACGGTTTAGATGAAGGTTAATTATTTCAAATTGCTCCATTTTAGATTGAAACGACTAAAAAAGGATTTTTAGGCGTGGTCCGGTAATTAATCTCCTGTTTCAATACGGATGCTGAAACTTCCACAGCATGCAAATATTTGCTAAGCCGGACCTTCGGGATCTGTGGACTTACGAAAACCACTGCTTGGGAGAAATAATAAACTTATCGATTAACATATTAATTGAGAAATTGTAGACGTCAATTTTCTTCTGTTGGGGGGAAATTGTTTTCCCCCTGTCCTGACAATTATCGAAAAAATGACAGTATTGTTTTAAAAATTAATGACGCTTAATTTACTTCAATTTATCTTGAATTATATTATACAGATTTATTTAAACATATTATTATTGGTTAAACGAAAGTCTTATTTTAGTTTACAGATGGCTGAAACTGACTGCGAGTTCGAAATAAACATAATCTCATGCAAGAATATCTTTAAAAAATGGATGAAATTATGAATCAAGTCTTCTGGAACGAAATTTTTTGAAGAATTTGCTGTTTTTCGAATTGACAAATTTTTGATGAACATGAGCAAGTTCCAACGGGATAGATTTTTAAGGTAAACTAATTAATTGTACGATTCTTTCTTTACTAATTTAATTTTAAGTGTAATAATAAATGATTTATATTCATGATAATTTATGAACATTTTTTCATTATAGAAGGAATTAACAATTAATGTATAATTTTTTGTTTATTTAGTAGTCATGTCTGTCACAGACGTTTATGAACTCAGATATCAAAAGTCTTTCATTTATTTTTTCAGATGCTTCCTGATGACATCGGTTGCTGGATTCTACAACATGAAAATAATCAAGTTCTCTTTGTAAGAAGGAAAACAAAAAGAGCTCGAAATTAACGCAAACCGTTGGCCAAGGACGCCGTTATTACCCTGTGATACAGCTTTCACCGGCGAATGAGACAATTGATGTTTGGAAGGGGATTCGGATAATTCGCTGATGAGGTCGTGTATGTCCCTCCATGACAAATATCGTGTCCGGGCCAGCCCACTCTCACATAACAATCGCCTTCGACGGAAACATGATCGATTCTCTTTTTCACAAGGCTGCGTCTCGCCGGTGGAGTATGTCGCCTTTTGTTACGATATGGAATGAAACGTGTGGTTTCTAAACACTTAGAATTATGTGCCAATATAACCACAACCACTGAGACCATTATTCCTAAATTTATTTCAATCAATATTCTTTGCTTGCATAAAAGCATAAATATAGTATTAACTGGTGTTGACAAACATTGACATTACACATCATCTCATCAATCAAGTGAAGGGACTATTCAAATGTAGGTTTCAGAAAAACATTTTCTTTATCGTGCCAACGTTTCGATCTTTATTTAGATCATCTTCAGGGCCTGGGATTTACAAACAATGTTTACATTTAACAAATACATTTAGGATATGGAAAAGTGAAATTATACAATGCAAAATATATTTTTTATATTTAATCCAAGTATTTCTACTCACTAAAAGTGTTTGTTTTCTGCATAATTCTTCCATTCTTGCGTGTCGTGTTGAGCGTGCCTGTGGGATACTGCTGTTTTATGTTTATATATGTTGGATTTTGAAGGGGTGGGGAAGGAAGTCGGTATAGAAAAGTCATTTTTGTATATGTCGGTACAGAAATATTTTGATTAAATATAAAAAAAAAATATATTTTGCATTATATAAATTCACTTTTTTCCACATTCTACATGTATTTGTTAAATGTAAACAATGTTTGTAAATCTCTGGCTCTGAAGATGATCTCAATAAAGATGGAAACGTTGGCACTATAAAGAAAATGTTTTACTGAAACCTACATCACACCAGACAGCATCTTACGATTTCTGAATAATTATCGATTAACGGTCACTAATCACCACACATTGTTTTTATTATTGAATAACATTTAGAAAAGTCTTTTGATTAAATAATCTAAAAACTGTTGTACGAGGTTTAAGGTATTTTATTTAATTATCATTTTTGAGTTCATTTACTTGTGTCCAATGGCATAAGTATACAGTAGATATACTTACGTTACGTTAAACGTTCTAGCAATGTTAACAAACTTTACAGCTGTGGCAGTTCACCGATGCCGCAGTGCTTTTAGATTTTATGGTTGTTGCTTTGTTGGCAAATAAAAGTTGCAAAGCCAGCTTTTACAGTAGTAGCAACTTTTTTCTATCCATTTTGCTACTAACAATAAGTCAGTTAGTCTGAAAATTTCTTTCAGACAAACCCACTGCCTGTGTTATATTTGAACAAAAAACTTGTTATTTTACCCTTAAAAACCAACTGAATTTTTATGTTGTAAAATTTCAATTTGAAAGTTTTTAGCAAATGCTTTATCAAATTATTGATTGTTTCACAATTAAATCCCCTCAAATTCATTACACATTTTGTGATTTATATTGTGTCTTAAGAAGGATAAGAATATTATTTTTTTACAAAAAATAAAAGAATGAATGTGTAGAGATTAGTGACCGTTAATCGATAGTTATTCAGATATCGTGAGATGCGGTTGGTGTGACAGGTTTCAGAAAAACATTTTCTTTATCGTGCCAACGTTTCGATCTTTATTGAGATCATCTTCAGGGCCTGGGATTTACAAACAATGTTCACATTTAACAAATACATTTAGGATATGGAAAAGTGAAATTATACAATGCAAAATATATTTTTTATATTTAATCCAAGTATTTCTACTCACTAAAAGTGTTTGTTTTCTGTGTAATTGTTCCATTCTTGCGTGTCGTGTTGAGAGTGCCAGTGAGATTTTGTTGTTTTGTGTTTATATATGTTTGGTTTAGTATACATGTATCTGTTCTGTAAACTCAGTCGCAGCTACGCCAATATCATTAATCAAATACAATATAGATAACATACATATATCATTACATTACATTCCACACATCAAATACTTTTCACATAGTCTAATTTTCCAACAATTTAGCTTTCCTTTTCCTATTTATCCCTTTCCATTTAATCCCTGGCCGAACTATTACCAACACATTATACCCCTTTGTCGGCTTTTTTCACTTGAAAGAAGCCGATGCCTTACACAAAATTGTCTTTTATATACCGACTTCCTTCCCCACCCCTTCAAAACCAAACATATATAAACGTGAAACAGCAAAATCTCACTGGCACTCTCAACACGACACGCAAGGATAATAAAAAATGAATAATAACTTAGATTTTTTTTTTAATTTTACCCCTGTTTTTTTAATTTTAAACAAAATTTGTTGCCATTTAAATTCCAATCATGAAAGATCATTTAATAATTTCAAATACATAACAAAATATTTTATTATTATAGCTAGTCGATAACAAATTAGTTATTATTATATTATTCTGTAATAATATTTTGTTATCTGGTCAAGTATTTAGTTGTTGTTTACTTTAAATATTAAAATGTTACAACTTTGCTAAGAGGGAAGAGAATTGATAGTTTAATTTTAATCAGTATACCAGGGTTGAGAGTTTTATATGATAAAATCCGATCAAAAACCTTGATCTAGCTCTCTATTCTATGAAAAACCTGCAATTAAAACCATATTTTATGAATTAGTAACATGTGTCTCCTCAATATTTGTGCTATTTATTCTTATTTATCGCAATTTATATAAACAACTTTAATTAACTAACTAAACATATTTCAGAAGATCGTCGCAAAGAAGGAGAATTATTGAGCAGAGTCAGGATTAAAAGAACACGTTTAAAACTTCTATTTAACTTAAAACTTAAATTAATTAAATTTTAAGATGTTTTTTTTTATAGACGTGTTGATAATAATACGGGATTTGGTGATATAATGTCCAACTATTTTGAAATACAAAAAAAAACGAAGATTCAGTTTAATCAATTCGAATTGCTTAAATTGTTCATTTTAACATTTGAAATATTAAATTATCCAATTTCAAATGGATGTTTGAAATCTGGTAATTCAAGTAACCTGGTGTGTAACAACACACTATTATGTACTTAAGTAACTATTCTTAAATAAATTTCCTGTCATGAGAAAAGACAAATCAAAGGAAAAAGGATAGTTTATCTTATCAATTGTTCATTAATCGTTTTAATTTTCAGATTTTGTAATATTATTCTAATGAAATTTTTTGGTTTTATTAAAAACTAACTGTTGTTACCATTTAGTAACGGTGATGATTTAAGTATGACGAATTAATTTTTATTATTAATTATTTTTCTGTTTATTACGTGTTTATGATTTGTTTTATTAAATTAGTTTTTGTATTACTAATTTTTTTCCATAAGCCATAGAAAAATACACCCAAATTCAAACTTTATGAAGAGAATGCATTCCTAATTGTTTACTCTAAAAGACTGGTCGATACAAAATGTTTTAAATGAAAAAAATGTATGCGGATAAATGCGCTATTTATAACCTTTTAGGAGAGGCTGAATATTTTTCATCTGTTGTTTCAATCTGCAAAATAAAAAAAATTGATTGGTTATAAAACCCGTTTTGGTTTATGTACCTATTTTAATAATGTTTTTTTTAGAAGCCTAAAAATAAACCGTTATTTTACGACAATTGAGTACACAACTTATTAAGATTAAAAGTTTTTGAATTTTACATATATTTATAAAATTATAATTTTCCTCTTTTTATCATATTTTAAGCTTATTTAATTATGCATGATTTAATTTAATTGAATACAAAAAATTATAAATAGCATTTGACGAATTCTAATATAAAAAAGGATATTACGCGATATTTAATTTTCTTGATATTTTTTTACTTCATTGAAAAATTTATACAGAATTTTACGAATGACGCTAAACGGCTTCTGAAGGATCTTTAAGAAGGCTCTTTTTCGTAATAAACCGACTGCCGTCCTATTTTTATACCTGTCGATCGGAATTTATTATAAAACATTTGAATAAAAGTAAAAAGAAAATTTCCCTCACTAGGAGTGGCAATTTGTGACGATCCGACTTTCTCCACTGGCACAAGTGGTACAAGTACAAATCCTGCCGATTCCTCCACTGTATCGCCCTTTTTCTCATATCTTCTCCGACCTAATTAAAATACGAGTCGGCTAATAATGTCCGTATCGCTGTAAATCTTAAAAGTTTGCGCGTTTTAACAACCTTTTCTATAAGCCGACACTTTTTTTTATAACTGTTAATAAGGAGCAGAGGATTTTACTCGCAACGGGCCCAACATGTTTTACGGCCGGCATCAATTTTTTTTTTTATATTTGTTCGTAAATTCCTGTATTATAGAACCGCTATAATATTCCGTTTATAGCGTATAGGTGAAACCGGCCGCCCCCGCGCTCTCATTACGCAGGGTACTAACTGTAAAAACGCTTCTTTTATAATGTAGTCACTGGTTTATATGTGTATAATGTACGTACTTTTTTTCGGTTTTAAAACGCATAAAAGTTTTATGTTAGTAATGACAAAACTCTTATATTCATAGTTTTCAAATTCATCATTCATTTTTTAATTAAAATTTTCAATTATAACAACTATTTCTAAAACGAAGACGGTTCTCTCAGAATTCCTATCACAATTGATCTCTTCTTATTAAAAAAAATATCAGAAAACATCTTTTCCCAGTAAGCCTGGACATTATGAGTACTCATTAGAATTTTTTGAGGTATCTTCATAAGGTCTTCTTCATTTTTCGGCAATTTATATCGCCATCCTCAGTGCCTATTTATTGAAAAATACTTACGTTATCAGAGTTACTGTGGGATATTGAAAAATTACACCGTTGTCTCGCCACCGTACAAAATTGACCCTAGGGTTCCGAGAGGTTCAGTTTGTGGGCCAACCTTTTTCAACATTTTCATAAATTCACTACCTAGCTTTGAATACCAAATTGCGATGTACTCTAATGACATAGCAGGCTTAAACAGGAAAATGTGTTAAAGGCAATATTTCATCTTTTCCGACGGTCGTCAGAGATGAGCCTGGAAAATAAGTTAATTGTTTACAAAACAGGGGTTAGAACCATGCTCTTATATGCATGATAGGTTGCTATTAACTAACTCAAAAAAAGTGCAGCGAGTAGAAATTTTAACATAAACACTTACAGGCACAATTACACAGAAGATACACAGAAGACAAACATTTTGAGTGAGTACAAATACTTTGATTGAATATATTAAAAAAATATCATTTGCATTGTACAAATTCACTTTTCCACATCCAAAACGTAATTGTAATATGTAAACAATTTGTAAATCCCAGGCCCTGAAGATGATCTCAATAAAGATCGAAACGTTGGCAAGAAACGAAAATGTTTCTCTGAAACCTACATCACATCAGACACCATCTCACAAT